CCAACAGGTACAGTAAGCCCTGCACAACCTCAGTTTCCACACCTGCAGATTCAACCAACCACACGTTGAAAACATTTGAGAGGGGCCGGCCCGATGGTGCACTCGGTAGAGTGCGGCGCTTGGGAGCGCAGCGGTGCTCCCACCGAGGGTTCGGATCCCATACAGAGACCAGTCCACTCACTGGTTGAGCGCGGTACGGGCGCAACACCGAGGGTTGCGATCCCATTACAGGTCATGAAAAAAGACAAAAAGAAAAAAAAAAAAAAAAGAAAACATTTGAGAGAAAAGAAAACAATAAACATAATACAATTTAAAAAACAAACAAAAAACCAATACAGTATAACAACTATTTACACAGCATTTACATTGTATTAGGTATTATAGATAATCTAGAGATGATTTAAAGTTAAACAGGAGAATGTGCATATGTTATATGCAAACACTATGCAATTTTATATCAGGGACTTGAACATTAAAGAATTTTGGTATCCACAGGGGTCCTGGAACCAATCCCTTGAGAATACTGAGGGACAACCGTATAAAGTTAAGCTGTAGGGTTTTTTTTTTGCCCATGTTCTTTATCAAGTTAAGGAAGCTCCCCTCTATTCCTGCTTTACCTAGAGTTTTTATCAGGATGAGTGTTGAATATAGTTACATGATTTTTCCACATCAATTGGTAGGATCATATGATTTTCTTCTTTATCCTGTTGATATGGTGAATTTCATATTCATTTTGGAATGTTAAACCTTGCATATCTGGAATAAATGCAACTAGGTCTTTGTATTAGTCTGTTTCTGTTGTTCATAAGAGAATACCTGAAACTTGGTAATTTATAAGAAAAATAAATTTATTTCTGTTTTGTTTGTTTTTTTGTTTGTTTTTGTGACCAGTAAGGGGGTCGTAACCCTTGGCTTGGTGTCGCCCGCACCATGCTCAGCCAGTGAGCACACCGGCCATCCCTATATAGGGATCTGAACCCACGGCTGCTGCGCTCCCACCGCCGCACTCTCCCGAGTGAGCCACAGGGCTGGCCCAATAAATTTATTTCTTACAGTTTGGAGTCTGGGAAGCCCAAGGTCCAGGGAGCACATCTGGCGAGGGTCTTCATCTTGGTGTAGGTGGTGAGAGGTTCTCATAAGGAGGGCTGGGTGAGCACCCTTGTTAACATACTCACTTGCTCTCCACACCCATGACAACCCATTAAACCATTAACCCATTACTCGAAGAACGGATCAATCCACTCATGAGTCCTCACAACCCAATCACCTCTTAAAGGCCCCACCTTTCAACGCAGCCAAACTGGAGATCAAGCTCCCACACAAGCTTGCGGGAACATTCAACTACAGCATTCCTGGTGTACGATTATTTCTATTCATTATTGGATTCAATTTGCTAGTGTTTGTTGAAGATTCATGCATTTATATTCATGAGAAATGATGGTCTGTCATTTTTCTTTCTTTTGATGTCTTTGGTTTTGGTGTCAGGGTGCTGCTGGCCTCATAGAATGGGTTAGGAAGTGTTCCTTCTGCCTCCATCTTCCGCAAGAGATTGTAGAGAATTGGTATAATTTCTTCCTTAAGTGTGTGGCAGAATTGACCAACGAACCCATCTGAGCCTCGTGCTTTCTGTTTTGGAAGATTATTAATTAGATTTTCAATTTCTTTAATAGATACAGATCTATTCAGAATATTTATTTTTATTTATTCACAACTTGCTGTGGGAAAGGAGAGCATTCAGTGGTCCAGGGGGGTGGGGAGGGAACGGGCTGGTAGAGAGGAGGGAGGCTCGTGGGGAGAGGGCTGAGTTGGCTGGGAGGGGGTCATGGGGGAGGGAAAGTGGTCACAGGCAGGACATCCACAGTGGCCAGGGCTGAGTGGCCTCATCTACAGGCTGGGAGGGGTCTGGGGCAGGCCTGGAGGAAGCCCCTGTGACTGGCCTTCTGTGTTGGTTTTCCCTAGGAGATTGCACCTGGAGACAGCCGGCCACTGACAAAACCGCCTGCGAGCTGCTCCCCTAATCCAGTGGGGAGGGAAGCCCCACCCCAGTGTGCGGACGTGCCTAGGGCCTCAGGGCAGTCTGGGGCAGGCCAGGACCCAGTCCCCGAACAGGTGGCCCTGGACAGTACTCACCTTGGCCCCCGCCGTGGGCACCAGCCCCACCGCGGCCATGTAGGTGCTCCCGATGGTCTTGATCTTCTCTAGGTCCTTGTAAAAGTCTTTGTCCATGAGCTTTGTTTAAAATACAAAACTGTTAAACATTACATAACATTTGAGAAACATCACCACAGCCGTCAGCAAGAGCAACAGCACAGCTGACGAACACATTCTGGAAAGCGATCTGTCTTCTCTGTTGTGGGCACCAGACACAGTCCAGGAGTACACTTGTAAGAGGAGGGATGGTACAGGACACATCCTGTCCCTGCAGCTGAGCTCCCGGTCACCAGGGAGAGTGGCATCCCCAGTGGCAGGGGCAGCAGGGCAGACACAGCACCCGGCTGCGGCAGAGCCTGCAGGTGCTACCCTCCTGTCTATAGATGAGGTGACTCAGCCCCGGCCACTGCAGATGTCCAAGCTCTGACATTTGCAACACAGAGGACAGGCACCCACCCCCACCCAGTGGTCCTGTCCCCCATCAAGAACTTCTCTTTACTGTCACAGTTGATCTGGACCCCAAAGGAGACACTGCATGCATTTCCCAGGATTTGTTTCTCCCTATTCCGTCTACAGAGAATGTGACATACTGTCAGACACAAGAAGGACTTAGTTAGGAGAAGGGACATTCTCATCACCCGTAAGCAGGAGGCACCCCAGCCTGAGCGTGGCCCTCACCTCATCAAAGTCGGCAATGATCTCGTTGAGGAGCCGCAGACACTCAACGCCCATATTGTTGCCATCCAGCTCGATGTAGAAGTCATTGAAGTTGGGGATGGAGGCGAACATGACACCCACCTGGGAGTAGGACTGGTAGTACAGGTCCTGGAAGGTCAAAGGCTAGGTCAGCTGCTGAGCGCCAAGGGAGCAGCCAGAGCAGCTTTCCTACCAGGGCTGGCGATGGGCCAGGCTGGCACCATGATTTAGAGCTGTCACCCCAACGTCCCAGGAGCTTTGGTCACCCAGACTCCACCCTGACCTTGGGGATGGGCAGGGGGGTGGGCAGGGGGCTGAGTCCATAAGGGACCTCCACTTTGCAATGGAAGCAGAGAGAAGCAGCAAGAAGCCACTCTGAGCCGGGCCTGCAGCTGCAGACCTGTGGCCCTGTTAGGGCAGCAAGCAGGACGTGGTGCCGAGTGGGCCACGTGCTCACCATGTTCCGCGGATTGGACATGAGGAAATGCTGC